AGTAAAATCGTGTAATTCTTCACTTGATTTATATATCGCGCCTGTCTTGAAAGGATAAATAGCATTTATTTCAAAATAATTGTTATAGGAATCAGATATCCCTATAAATTAGTTGAAATGGAAGCAATCGTAATGTAATAAATAGTTTTTATTAAGCTTATTACATTGCAAAAGACATCGTTATATCTTAAGATACGTAGATGGCGGATTATAGGTAAAATATTTCACTTGATTGCGCAACAGAATTTTCTCCTGTCCTTATTTCATGGAAATTGCCTTCGAGCGCCTAATGATTTCGAAGCGTTTCGTTGACGACGTAAATGCCGTAATGCAATTACACGACGATGTGGAACGAGAGCTACGAATGGATCTCATTTCATGCATTTTGAAAAATATTAGTTATGATGCGGTTGTCACTGGGTATGCAAGATTTTCTGGACATTTACTACATACTGAGTTATCCAATTACTGATATGAAATTGCTTCTTATGGGCTTTTAGAAAAATTACGATTTAAAAGAACCGTTTATGATCCACTCTCCTATTTGCGTACTTAAGTTATATTATTATCTTTATATAACTTTTCTTTTATGGACTATATTATATTCCGTATATTTTTCAAATATGAAGATGCAAAAATGTAGACTGTAATTAATATTTCTCAACGCATTCAGATTATATCTCGCAAAACAATAAAAGAGAAATGTTTAGAGTACTTGCCTAAAAAAACGTGAAAAAGAAATATTTAGAGTATGCCGAAACTCAATTCAGTCAGCTCCTGCAGAGTGCTGCGAGAATATGCGTCTTACGATAAAACACCATTCCCAGGCATCGCAAGTGCACTCTGCCACTCTCCGTAGATACTAGAGATTAAGGAAAGTACGTTATATGTTAAAATATAAACTTTATACGCATCTGCATTAGTGAAACAATGAAACGATATAACCCCATTAATAGCCGGTTTTTATCTGTTACCTCTACTTTCATTCATAACTCTACTTTCACTTATTAAATATATATCTGTCTAAATAAGTACTTCATAAAATTTTCATAAAACTTTATATAAAAGTTTAAAACAGAGAATTCCTATGTTTGGTCATTAAATTTGAATTTCATATTCGATACTATATTGCATGATCGAAAAAGCGTAACAGAACGCACTTTGTGGCTGAGTATGATTCGAGAAGATTATCATTGATTCTGGTTTATACCAGCTTAAAGGATGGAAATAGTCTCAAGTGAAAACTGAGCAAATCGTTATTGGAAACCGTTCATTAACTACTTTAATAGATTAACTTTTGGAGCCAAATATCCAGATAGCTTAAGAATCTTGGAGACTTTTATAACATAAAATACTAAAAACCAATTATTTTTTAATTGATTACAACTGAGTTGAATTGTTATAATGTATTTAATATATTTATTTTAAAAAATAAAACTTTGATTATAAATTATTTTGAGTTAAAATTTTATTATTGACTAAATGAAATAAAAAAAAAGTGTAGTGTGTGTGTGTGTGTGTGTGTGTGTGTGTGTGTGTGTGTGTGTGTAGTGTGTGTATAT